ATATGCTGATTGTAGGATTGGGTATATATCTGAACATTTAATGTGTTCAAGTGTCTGGTCACTTACAGCTCTTTCCGTCAGTTTAGAAACAAACTGGAGATTACTTATTGGTCTTAAATTTGATAGCTATGCGGGTTGACCAGTTTTCTTGAGCCTTGGATCGACAAGGGTGAATTTCCAAGCAGAAGGGAAATAACCTAGCGAGAGGGAGGAGTTGATCATGCAGGTAATGACGGGTAGCAGTTCATTTAGACTCTTGACCACGAGTGATGTAGGCATAGGATCTAGGGCGCAACTCTTCTTCGCTGATTTCTGAATAAGCTGGGACACCATGTCAGTTGAAAGAACCTCGAATTTCTCCAGACTTTGATTAAAACCGAACTTAGGGTCATTTATTAGTCGAGAACTATCACATTGATCAATAACCACAGCGTCAAGCTCTTTACGAATATTGATGACCTTTTTATAGAAAAAATGGCCAATGTCATTCGCAAGTGATGTATCGTCAGAGTAATCAGGGAAGCACACTTCATCCTTCGGGTGGAGGAGGGCATTTGTTGCTCTAAACAGTCTATTTTGGTCATTTCCATTTTCGTTGATAAACTGTGCGTAGAACTCTCTGCGCGCCTTATTGCTGATGTACGTAACATGATTTTTCAGCCTTTTGAACAAGAGTAAGTCATCTTCTGCTTTGCTTTTTCTCCAAATCCGTTCTGCCTTGCGCCGTTTTCTTTTCGCTGCTGCAATGTCATGATTATACCAAGGGACCTGAGATCTAGCTTTCACAGTTTTGGTTGTCAGTGGTGCATGCTTATCTATCATACTTGTGAGGGTGGTGTTGTAGATGTTCACAAGCCTATCAAGATCTTCAGGGACAGAGTGCTCTCTTGGTTCTTTATAGCATAGGACACTGCTTGCCAATTCATGTTTGAAGCAGTCAATGTCCACAGCCTTGATCTTTCTATAGCTGATTGATTTAGTCTGTAATGGTGGTTTTTTTATGGCAATGTCAAAGTGAACTGATGTATGATCAGAGAAATAACTACAGCTGCGTGGTGGAAATGGAATGATATTTTCTGTCTTACGTGTAATAACAAGATCAAGGGTATGACCATGTATGTGAGTCGACTTTGTGACATGTTGCTCAAGCCGAAGGGATTCCAACAGATCATGAAATTTTACAGTATCAGCATCATCAGAAACGTCTAAGTGTATGTTGAAGTCCCCTAAAACGAGCAGGTGTTCCTTTGATAAAATAACCGATTCCATATAGTTAGAGAACTGTCTAATGAAAGTGCCAATGGAGATCTTATGATGTTCTGAGTATGGCGGTCTATAGACAATGACGACTCTTAACTTACGAGAACTCGATACTTCTACTAGTAACTCTGAGTATTCGAAAGAATCTTCTTCACCAGACCTAATTGTGGTAACTCTAAGATTGTTCTTATAAAGAAGTCCAATGCCTCCACCGCCACACCTAACACGAGGGAAGTCTACGAACTTGTAACCGTCAGGGCAGAGCTCAACTCTAATCGCATCATCAATGTCACGTAACCAGGTTTCAGTAATAGCTACGAGATCGAATTTGTTTTCATAGACATAGTCAACCAAATCAGCTGTTTTGTTTCTTATTGATTGAGCATTTACCAAACATAAAGAGATAGAGGAATTGCGTACTGTGTGTGGAGTTACTTTTATAGTTTTTAAATTAATATCGGAAGCATTTGGTCCAGGATTAGTTTCGATATCTCCTCCTTGTAGTAAGATCTGCCGCGACGCGTACGAGTTTGCATAGTATAGACTGTAACCATAGGATCTCTTAAGTTTTTTATGAGTAAATATTGTTGTTGTTGCAAAGTTGTAATAACACGGAAGGTATGATGAATTTCGTACACAATCATGGTCAGCAATGGATTCTCTTTCAAAATTAGTGAAAGAGAAGTGGGAAAATAATAGTAAAACACATAGCAATAAGACTTGTGCACACCACATTGTCACAGCAGGAGATTGTCTGGTCAAGTAGTCCTTAGCAAAGGTCAAGTAGTTCAAACACAATAAACGTAGATACTGATGTACCACCCGTTTCGCAAGAATCTAGCTAGTATAATAACTATGAGATTGGTCGGGAGGCACAGTATTTATACTTGCCAGATTACCAATCTCGCCAATCTGAGTAGCAAACAAATTATACTAGTGCCAGACTACCGTTTATCAATATAGCGCATTCAATATGGCGACGAGCAAGCAGTGTTATAAATATTAATGACTTCGAGTAAATAAATCGGACTATTAAGTGTGTAAATGGCAATAATTTTTGGTACGCGATATTAGATGCTCTTTCTGCTTGTTGTATTTATGGTAAAAGTGGTTCCCTGTGAAGATTGAAAGTCAAAATTGGAGAGTTTTTATACGCGAGTATTGGAGATATATTTTATACTTATATATAGGGCTATATATTTTCAATATTTTGAAAAATCACGTACCATGCCATGGAATAATGGATTAATGGTTTATATACAGTAGCGACGTTTATATGGACTATGTGCTGACTATTAGTATCGACTGTATTAAACTGGTATGAAGTGTACATATCGAGTTCAAAACTTCAAACAGCAAAAAATATTAAAAATGCCTGGCCAGCCTGGGTGAAAATTGCCTATCAAACAATGTTCATTATTAGGGGCTGTTTATATGTACCAACATGGGCACACATTCAAAAATTTCTGGGGGTTGGGGTTGGGATGATCTGGGATGACTTTCCTGTTCTGGAACAGGCATTTGTAGCTATACGTTAGCACAGAAATAGAGGAGTGCAATAAAACTGGGACCAACTTCTTGTGATTTTCAAATCCCCCCCCCAATGTACACCCCTGTGTACCGGGCTCATTTGGCCACAACAGAACAGCTACACTGACTATTTCATTCAAGATTATTTCCTGCAAGAGTTAAAGTGAGCATGGATATAAACAGCCCTTGAATAGTTTTCCCAACCTTTCCGATATTTATAGTATCACCTATCAAAATATTTCTGTAATGTGATTTACAGAACTGCTTATATTTTTCAGATAATATTTGTATCTCATAGTACCTACCACAGCTGTCTGCTATTATCACTACTACATTGGCACTGAGCACCAAGAGTATAAATAACATGTATTCATTATTTATCGTGAACACATTTGACATGATGGTCTGCGAACTGAACAAAAGTCATTGTGTTCTGTTGATTTGTGCCCGGTAACAGTGATTAAGCACATTGTATTTTATTTTAACCCATCAAGCTGCAGAGCTTCCCCATTAATGAGTAAAATCGTCTGGCATTAGACAAGTAAAAAAAATAAGTAAGGCGCACTGGGGCACATTGCGGCTCAATGGATTAATTAAGTCTCCATACGATATGGATAGCTCATATCAAATGTGCAACAATGATGAATAACATGTAGTGAATTTAGTTAGGACAAAGGATTCTGTCTGGGGTGATTAGTACAGTTCAACATCAAACAAAGGTATTCTTCAACCCAACTAGTATAATTACTGTAGGATTGGTATTATAGTCTGATTCAGTCATCCACATATCAAAAATTAAAACCGATACATTTCGGCAACTAGTATAATTACTGTGAGATTGGGGACCGGTCATTATTTATGGAAGGGGGGGAGGGGAATTTTTTCTTTCCTAAATTTTTAAAATTGAAAGCCCCTCCTTAAAAGAGCAGAAATTTAATGATGACCCCCCCTACATATTAGAATATTTTTCTTTGACCCCCCCCCCCATTTTCATTTTTACTCGACAAATGGGGATACCCAGGCGTTATAATGTTAATTATTAATTAAATAAGAATATGGAGCTGACAAGATATTAACGTCAACCAAAAATATATATTAGCAGAAAATTATAATTAAAAGAGGGGTATATTCATATATAACTCTAAAATCAGGTTTCCATTTGGTCTGGGCGATTGTAACCATGTTTAACGGCAGAGAATTAATATTAATGTTTGGAGCCAGGTGCCGTTTGTGGTCCAAGGCTGTAACTAGATTTGATGGCACAAAGTATTGCCATAGCAGCTGCGTAGCAATGAGAGTAACAATCAGTAATATTAGCAGCAAAAGGAGATAGCCATGACAATTCTGGACATTCTGCCAAGGCATACCTCCGGCACCAGTCACACTCAGCTGACAAGTCAGTGGAAACGAAATATAATGTATTAACAGAACTGCCAAGTTCGGAAGATAAAAATGTGTGACCATGGCCATTGCAAGGACTTTGCTTTGGGGGGGGGGGGGAGGTTAGATTGAATTAGCCTTTCTCACGATGAAGAATATCCGCCATTTTTGGGTGGCATCCAATTCTCGTTATCCAATGCAGACAATTAAAACAATGTGAAAAGCAATTTTTCAAAATAAACTAATCATTTACAAAGCAAATTCACCATCATTCGTCCAAAAAATTATAAAAAGTCGCTGTTACGTGGACTTATCTAGGAGACTTCAGCTGAAATGCCACCCAAAAATGGCGGTGTGAGAAAGGCTAATTGTTTCAATTCACCTGATTTTGCGAAGCCCGCGAGGCGCCTTCATGGTTGGCACCGAGCAAAAAAATTTGAAAAGTTGAATTCTCTAGACCGTCGGAAATAGCATTTTTACAGTATTTCCTACCCAAGATTTCAATGTTTTACTACTGCCTAACAATGAAGATAAGTAAAATAACTACTGATCAATATGACAGTGTTACTTACATTTTAATGTGACTAGGAAAATTGAGAAAATTTTGGAAATTTGGAGTCTCCAGATTGTCAGAAAGCGTATTTGGCCATGTACCCCCAGGCCATGGTGCGTCTGAACGTCTTTATTTGGTTGGTCGATTGTTAACTCTAATTGTACATTTGCACACAGCGTTGTCAATGAGTTATTGTATAAAAAGTGGGATAGCGTCATATAATGGTAAAAATGCGTAACTTTAAGATCATTTTAGTTATGCGTGCGGGACAGCAGGAACAAAAGCAGAATGCATAACTTTCACGCGAAATGGGGGAACCTTGGCAGGTCTGTGTATAGTGGTCTATACATCCTATTTTATGTGAGATTAAAAATTATATAAAATAAAATGACATACTACCAGATAAAATCCTCTAGAATAAACATGGGTGGGTGGGTAGGGAAAAGTTATCTAAGCGCTAAACTTGGTGCAGCTAGGCAAAGCATACAATGGCAGAATGAATACCCAGACTGAAGCACTGATCACAAGGCGCCAAACAACCCCCTTTAATCGATATGACATCACAGACTCCCCTCAGTGGATGTGGCCTGCATAATACATTCGCCGTTAACCTTGCCTAAATGTATTTAACCACATCAAGATATCCCATGTAATAATACATTGTCCATTTATCTCTGCAATCAGTAAAGACTGATTTGCAAACAGCACACAGAAGACAAGATAAATCCAGACTATTTCACATCAGTGACCATGATTTAGTCGCAATTAAAACCAAATGGATACCATGCTTATTAAGCAAATTCCTTCAAATTTAATTGCACCCCCTCCCCTCATTTTCTTGAAAAAATTTAATAGCCCCCCCCCCTTAAATTCATTTATTTATACATATGGGCCCCCCTCATTTTTCCCTCCCCCCCCCTTCCATAAATAATGACCGGTCCCTTAACAATTAAAAGAAATTTTCCGGCACACTAAGGATGTTGCCGGGAAATCACTAGAATGTGGCGGGCAAAAACGATAGAATGCATACTGGGCAGTACCGTAGTATTAAATTAGATATATATTTTATAACCTCATGCCTATAAATTATCACCAAATGAACGGCCCATTTTGAACAAATTTACTCACTTTAGATTTAAGATCTTCGCTTTGAGGCTTTGACTTCCTATTTCTTCGCTAGAAAAGCGAACAGAAAGGCTTCTATCGAACAAAATGGATGACTCTGTCTTTTGTTCTGAGTCGTTGTCTCCTTTGGCTTTGTCTTTGTCATATCTTCGTTGAACACTTGAACGTTGAACCACAGGTGGCCCCATCTCTGAATGGTCTATATATTTTGAATATTTTATAATATACGGAATGTTTAAAGGTAAGTCAAGTCCGTAATGTAAACAAACGGTTTGTTTACATTTTGAACTGCTGTATTTTCTAAAATATGATGTACTGTCTGAATATATCTAACACCATTTTGGTTCGCTATGCTTCTAAATGAATATGAAATAGAGTTTTATATGTTCAGAAAAATCCGAAACATTCGAAATTTGGGCAATGTTCACATTAGAGGTCCTCACATTGTTATGAGCAGAACCGATGCGCAGAACGGACTTGACTTCCCCTTTAACCGTTATAATATTTAATAACGAAATAATTAAAAAAATATTAACAATATATGCAAAAAATATATCTAACTTGTTAATAGAATACATTTGTTGTGTTTCTGAGTCTAGTTGATGCGCGCGCGATTGCTTTACGTTTTCGTCGCACTTGAACGCTCGTCATCAATACGGGCACTGAACATGACACTGAACGACATAAGGTACGTAAATGTCAGCCTTGATGGATTGAATGCCAATTGCCAAATGTTTCTTAAACAGCTGGCGCAGAAACTGACAGAAAAAGATAATGAACGATATGCAGATATGTTTTAATTCAGGTTTTAGATTTTTAATAAAAATAAAAACAATACTGTGTCTGTGTTGAGACATGCACTGGTGTCGTCCAAAAACTCTTTCCTAGCTTGCTTCAATTAAGAGACTGTCATGGGGCCAGAGTGCTCAAACAAGGGAAGTGAGTCAAGTAAGTCATATCTCGAATACGCATGCGTACTACATGTCGTAGTTTTAAAACAGTGTAAACTGGAGCCATGTATACGGACTATATATATATATATATATATATATATATATATATATATATATATATATATATATATATATATATATATATATATATATATATATATATATATATATATATATATATATATATATATATATATATATATATATATATTTATATATATTTATATATATTTATATTTATATATATTTATATATTTACGAGTAGGTTTGTGTATACGAAACGCAAAGAGTGCTCAATATCATAAAGATAGAGCAAATGTAGAATTTCGCTTACCTCAAAATTCCGCAACAGTCTGTTTCATCAGTAAAGAATCATCAGGCGGTATGACAAGTTTCGAAAAATAGGACTGCTTATATGGTTTTGGCCGGAACGTGGGTGTGCGTGGGTGTGTGTATGTCCTCAGTCATGCATTGCTTCTGAAGTGGGCATATTGCGTTTTTCGAACAACTGCAATTGACAGTGCCCTTGCCCTGTGCCTTGTTCTTCCTAGCTATATGTGCATTGTGCTTAGTGATTATAGACTTAACGTTGCTCATGCAGCTATAACTTACTTTTACTGTATTTCTGTTAAAGATCTTATGCAGCTTGTGGTGCGAAGGAAAGTGCTTGTCGATAAGGTTAAGAAAATTACGCCCTATATTAGTGCTGACATTCATGCTAAATGGTGGGTTGAACCAAATGATATTACGTTGCCTATTTCTGCGTGCTTGCTGTGGTGCGTGTTGAGTGTAGTTAAGATCATGATTAAAGTTGCTATGGTCAAGTGCATTTTGGTATGCAGGTGCAGATTCCATAAATGTTTGTTCATCTGATGAAAGCATTGCGATGCACTTGTTAACTGATGTAGGAAGCTGCCTTATAATGCTAGCTGGATGGTTAGAGTACCTATTTATGTATAGCGGATTGTCATTGGGCTTTCTATCTATATATATATATATATATATATATATATATATATATATATATATATATATATATATATATATATATATATATATATATATATATGTATATATATATGTATATATACATACACATATACATACACATATACATATATATATATATATATATATATATATCCAAAATGTCGGCTAATTAATCCCGCTAAAAGTGAATCAGGAAAATTGAGCAAAATTATTTTAGATGAAATTAACTCCAATTTGAGACAAAAACTTAATTTGAACCAGTGGAGAAATACAAAACAAGTAATTGAATGGTTTGGAAATATAAAAGACAAAGAAAGACATAGTTTTATTTCGTTTGATATCGTTGATTTTTACCCATCCATTTCGGAAAAGCTTTTGGACCAAGCATTATCTTGGGCTTCTAATTTAACTACCATTTCGGATAATGATATTTTGATCATAAAACACGCCAGAAAATCCCTGCTTTTCAACACCGGAAAACCATGGACTAAAAAAGATAGTGAAGGTTTGTTTGACGTTACCATGGGCAGCCACGATGGCGCCGAAATATGTGAATTAGTTGGCCTTTTCATCCTAAATCACCTAAGTAAGAAGTTTGGCAAAGAAAGCATCGGCCTATATAGAGACGACGGTTTGGCCCTTATAAAAAATAAATC